CATTCACTGATGCAAAAAGCCCTGTTGAATTCAGTGGTACGACTGGCGTGAACGAGAGGTATTCACTGAGGGATAGAATTTGCAGAATCTACCGTAAATTGTCATGTTGACCTATTAGTACATTTGCACTAACAAAAAGACTTTGGGTCATGGCTTTACCTCCATTCATCCCCCATATTTTCTGCTAAGTTCAAGTTGGGAGGGAGAGGGAGAGATACTGCTTAAGCAGCACCAAAGGAATGCATCACTTATCTGTGAGTAATCACCAGGCAGTGTTTGCCAAACTGGGAGGCAGGCCTCCCCTGAAGGGCTCTGACCTCCCCCAGGTCAGGCACACACAAAAGGAGAAAAAAAATGAATAATCTCTCCCTTTTACTTAGGACTAGGGCCGATTTTATTCCTGGGACATTGCATTGTCTCAATCTTCTGCTTTCCCACACATGGCTCTACTCAGCCTCTCCTCCATCTTTTACTTTGATTCTTCATTCTGTCCTCCCCAAACGCTTGCTCAGAAGGGAGGCCCACAGATTTTTATTTTCCCTTCCATCTCAGATCCCAAATAGTGGGTGGGAGAAGGGAGAAAGTTTTCACACCACAATAACCTTTACCTTACACAGAGCCCCTTTCAGTGTAGTCAGCCAACAGCAGACCCCCAGTTGCCCATTACTTTCAGGACTTTCTTATAAACTTAGAAGCTGGAGAGAAGCTGGAGAGAAGCTCTCTCAGTGGTGGCACTTTTCATCCCTAAAAGCTAGATCTGCATCCAACCTGACAAAACCAGAAGTGAATACCTAATATTAGTTAATGAAAACTAGATAAAAGAAATCGTGCCTAATTCAAAGTGGGAATTTCCGAGAGAGAGAACATAATAATAACGGCCATACTGGGTCAGACCAAAGGTCATCTAGCCCAGTAGCCCGTCTTCCAACAGTGGCCAATGCCAGGTGCCCCAGAAGTAATCAACAAAACAGATAATCAAGTGATCTGTCCCCTGCACCTCACAAACAGAGGCTAAGGGAACCATTCCTGCCCACCCTGGATAATAGTCATTGATGGACCTATCCTATATGAATTTATCTAGCTCTTTTTTGAAATCTGTTAAAGTCCTGGTCTTCATGACATCCTCTGGCAAGGAGTTTCACAGATTGACTTCACAGATTCAAATGAACTTTCCAAATGCACCATTCTTCTCCAGTAGAGAAGGCTGTTTGCTATAGCATCCTATTTCTAAAATGTCTATCATAACATACAGAGTGCATTGCATTAGGTCTCAGAAGACCTGGGATCTATTCCCATCTCTGCCACTGGCCAGCTGGGTAACTTTAGGCAAGTCACTCTGGCCTTTATTTTTAAAGCTATTTCAACATCACTGCTGTGCCTAACTGATTTAGGAGCCTAAATCTCATTTTTAAAGAGATTGAGCCATATAGGAGCCTAAATCCCATCAGCTAGCAATGGGATTTTGGCTCCTTTAGAGCTAAATACCTTTTGAAAATGAGATTTAGGCTCCTAAACTGGTTAGGCATTGCAGAGCTGAGTGCACTCTTAGCTTCATCATGCTTCATTTCCCCTATCTGTAAAATAAAGGTAAGGATACAAACCTTCTTTGCAATATACAATAATATTACAAAGCAATAATATTATTTTTCAGTGCTTAGGAAATAAATGCTGCAACAAGGGAGCAGAGATTTTGTATTCAGGACCATTATTTCCATATGAGCAAGGATGCTAAACATGTAGTGACCGATAATAGTGTTACTGTCACTGGGGAAGGGAGGAGCAATCCTAGGCAGAAATGCCCAAAAGTCAGCTTCTGATCCCTCATCAGTGTATGTGAGTTGCAGAAGCTCCTGGTATCGAATGCCTATTGACGCTGAATTCCCTCAATTAGAGTTGTGCCCGGGAAACACAGTAGTGAAGGAATTCAAGTGCATGCGCCTAAAGTTTTCTGCAAACCTTCAGGAAAAATGGGTGATGTATTTGTTAGCATGCCATTCCCACCCATAGAGAGCTGAGGGGTATCTCTGGAATTAGCACACCTGTGGAAAACACTTCCAATGACCATGACACTGCTAAAGACACTACTGAGTAATGTTCATTTCCTTCTCACACTTATTGGTGATAGGATCACCAAGCTGAAAGTGCCAGGCAGCTTTGGCATGGGACAGATGCAAGGAATATAAATCTGCCTGCTATAACATGTACTACAGGCAAAGCAGAAGGGCAGAGAATGAAGTCTAGTCTACACCACACCACCTCTTGCTGAGTCAATCTAACCTATGCAATCTCAGTTACACGAACGGCATAGCTGAACTCAACCTACTTATGCAGTGTCTTCCATGTGGTAATGTTGGCGGGGGCTGCTCTCCTGTCAACTCTGGCTACTCTTCTCATTCTGGTAGAGTATAGGGATGTAAAAAAGGTTTAAAAACAGTAACTGTGTGCAGTTGGTTGGAGTGGCCACCCACTGGCCCCGAGGGGGATGACTCACATGGGAGGAAGACAGGGGGCGGGACCAGGGATATAAAAGACCCTGCCAGTGAGGGAGCCAGAAGCCTTCTCTCCCCAGCCCACAAGGGAGACAGAAGCCTTCTTGTTCCAGACAGCCAGAAGCCTGCTCAGCCCAACCCAGCGAGGAACCGGACCTGGGGGAAGCCGACAGCTGGCCAGGGCCACTGGGCCAACTGCTGGAGGACTACCAAGCGGGACCACTTCTGTGGCTGGAAGATCCCAACCCGTGCGGCCTGGAGGACCTGCCACAGAACCAGGTACAGGGTCCGGAGGGGAGAACTGGAGCAGGCCCAGGTCAGTAAGTTTTGGAACCAGACCCCTGCTGACCTAGCAGCTGATTACCGGCTGCTACTAGGGCCCTGGGCTGGGACTTGGTGGTATAGGGAGGGCCCGCATCCCCCCCTGCCACCCTTTGATTGGGTGGCGGTCTTGCCTCCTGTAGTGGGCAGCCACAGGCAAGGTGCCTGAACCCCTCCTGTACAAGGAGACAGACTACTTACTAGGGCTTACTGGTTGTGAACCGGTTGGCTTGCTTTGCCTGAAGCCCTTGCCCTGCCCTAGGGCTGGGCCTCTGTTTAATTATTGACTGTTTAACTGTGCTAGCCTCCCCTGGGTTTAGGGCTGGCTCCCTAACTGTTTAATGACTGCAGCCCCTTCCCTGCGTTCAGGGCTGGGCTCTTACTGGTTTAACTGTGTTAGTCTCCCCTGCATTTGAGATGTCTTCCTAACTGCTTGTTTAATTATTGACTGTTTAACTGTGCTAGCCTCCCCTGGGTTTAGGGCTGGCTCCCTAACTGTTTAATGACTGCAGCCCCTTCCCTGCGTTCAGGGCTGGGCTCTTACTGGTTTAACTGTGTTAGTCTCCCCTGCATTTGAGATGTCTTCCTAACTGCTTCCTTACTGCAGCCCTGTCCTGCACTAGGGCCAGAGACTGCTTGGCTATGGCAGCCCTGCCCTGCACCCAGCAGGGCCGGACCGAGCCATTTGAGCACCCCGGGCTCCGGGAGCGCAGCACTGCTCCCAGGAGTGTGACACACGCCGGTCCCACCCCCAGGCACACGGCGCCCCAGGCGTCCGGTGCATGCGCGGTGCTGCCCCCACCTGGCCCAGCAGCCCTGCGTGGCGCTCCCTACAATGGGGACTCCGGGTGGTAGCCCAGTCAGCCCGTACCTTGGGCCGGCTCTGGCACCAGGCCTGGGCTGTAGACTGCTT